TGGCTCTTCCCTGTGGACATTTATATCCAATAAGAGAAAAAGAAAATACATGTAATGAAGCATTAGTGACCAAATTATTGACATGAACAAATGCACTCAGGGTCAGTAAAAGTTTAAAATGTAAAGGTATTGACTGTAACAGAAGAGTCCAACAGTATAAACCACTTTCTGGAGATAAGTATGTGTTTGATTTTTAAGGGACTGATAGAAAGGTAAGTTTTCTAATTCTGAGGTCTGACACACTCAAAATTACAGAAATGAAAAAGAAATAATATGTGCAATAAATATAATAAAACTAAGGAACAAACAGAAATCTGAGTTATTGGGTGTAAATACAAAGTGACAATGGTGAGACGGGAGAAGAATTTGCTGGAGAGCCTTGAAGGCATACCAAAGAAACACAGATCCGATGTGATAAGCAATAGGCAGTCTCTCTAACTTCTAGTACAGAGCAAGGGAAACACCAGCATCTGCTTATAACAAGTCTTAGAATATGTATTACATGTTATAGATAGATAATTTATAGCAAGAGTTGGTTTATTATATAAACTTGTTAAAATGAAAAATTTACCAAAGGGAGAAACTGCAGTCTGTGTTAGATTTCTGTGAGATAAATATACTTATTAGTGCTCTGCTGATAAACATAATTTGTATATAAATCTCTCTCCAAACAAAAAATAAATATAAAAATCTAGTACCAATTGCTAGAAGACCATTGCCATGCTCTAGATGCATTATTCATCTGAAATAGCAACGTATATAAGGAGATCAACCATATGTCCTCTTTTCTGATTCATAATGTGTTAATTTAATTGTCATATGTCAGAAAGGGAGGGTGCTGAGAGACAAAATGAAGGAAGTAAAAATTATGCCTCTGCATTCCAAAGCCATACTTATGATACGACCTTTGTACCCACATTTGTAGGATTCTATTTGAATCCTAAAAATAGATAATAATCTTTACAGAGTAGTATTTCTTCTTTCAATTACTATTTGTTTAATCGCTAAAAGATTCATCAAGAGCCACCTTACTGTGATACAATAATTGGCATCAGCAGCTGTACCGTTAGTTTCCTAGAACTCTACCTTTGCAAATGGAATAATCTCCTACAGATTAAGCTTTTAATCTTCTCTTTATCCTTTCAGTTGCTTGTGATTGTCTTAAATTGGTAATAATAACCCATTTGATTTCCGGGGATTTCCTCACTGTATGTCTCTTTTAGGAGGATTATAAAGAATTGACTCCCTTGTGAAAGGTTACAAACACCAGTCTGGTTTGGAAGACTGTCTTTACTTGAAAAACAATGACAATGCTGAATAAGAGAATGATTTTAAAAAACCAATATGAGAGTGGGAAATATTCACCTCAGTAATCTGGAGATAACAGGAAAAGTCACTTTCAGGCCTGAATTATCTATATAATCTCCTCAGTTTTGCCCTTCACTATCAGAAAGTACTATTCCTACATTCTAAAATCATTGATCTGACCTTTGCTCATGAAAACACCTTCACTCCTGACTTAATACCATAAATTTCCAAATCAGCTATATTCATTACATACAACTTTAGTAATAATAACAACATAAGTGCCAAATTTGTCATTCTGTGTTTCACTCACAATATTTCTCTAATTTTTCTAGCTTTGGGGCTACCTGTTTTTTACTTGAACTAATACACACACACACACACACACGCACGCATACACATATATATAAATATATATATATATATTTACATACATATATTTATTTATATACATATATATGTATATATGCATATATACACACACATATATGTTTATATATGTATGTATGTATGTATGTATGTATATATATATGTATCATTGAAGATTAAAGCACAGTTTTCTATAGAAAGAAGCACTTTCCTAGGGAATGATTCATTTAGAACTGTGGCAGTTTCCAGACTTCACACATTACTTCCCCAAATTTGCTGAATTTAGCATTAGCCAGCTTGGTACTAAAACGCTCAGAACTCAAAGACATGTGGGTGAACTCACATCTTCCCTGCAGTCTTATTCCAAATGCTTGCTAAGTTACTTCTTCTGATTATTTGTTGTATTTCTACTTGTAAACACATCCTGGTGGCATTTATAAAAATCAGGTAGAGATGTGCCAGTTCGGAACCATTCATGTTTCTTTGTGATTATGATTTGAATTATGTAGGTGGCTTCAAAACAATGAATTTGTACTAAATTTTGGATTAGTTATTACTCTAATTCTTGCCTATTTAAGAGTATTACTAATAGAAATTAAATATCCATTATTTCTACAATATTTTATAGGGGTATCATATAATCAAGGAAATATTTTTTCACCTAAATGAGTTTATGATTCATTTACTAGCCAGGTCATTTATTTATAAGAAACATTTTGCCCACTCAAAACTCTGGCCAGAATGTGTTTGGTTACCAAATATCTGGAAGTGCATATTAAATTGCATCTTATAATATCAATGACAGTGAATTATATCATGAATTACTTCATGGTATCTTTAAAACACCATCACGTTACACAGATCTAGATGCCTCTGACCACTGCCAGGAAACAGAGGACATTGGTTTTAAGCAGTGTCCTCCTTCCATGACCGCTTGGCCTGTCATTTTATCTGATAGGTTACCATCTGTTCATCCTGCTGCCACTCTCTAAGGTAACTGGGTTAAAAATACAAGACATGGGAAATAGTCACATTGCCTAATGTATTTTTAATTATTTGTAGCAGTGACTTTTCTTCTCCTAGGCTATTCATGAAAATATTTTCTGTGACTATGTTTTAACAGGCTAATATTTGATTCTGTTATATTGCATGGACTAATGTTTATACAATTTCAACTCTGATAAACATATAAAACAGTAGAACATGAAGATATTTCTAATTTTGAAAGTATATATCACAGTGAGAGGCTATATGGTTTTATGGTTCAGAGCACTGGCTCTGGCATCATTGTTCTCTGTAAAACGTTGGTTAATGATAATTGTGTCTATATAACTATGTTGTTATGATAATTCAACAAGATAATCCATGCAAAATATTAATAAACTACTTGACATATAATAAGCCTTCCATAAATATTTCTTTTCATTATCAATAATCATTCTTGCTTTGGTATTAATCTCAAATTGGTAAAATAAAGCTTTGAGACAATAAGTTTTTTTAATATATATTTTAGATGTAATGTGCTGTATGGAGACTAGTTAAAAAATGACTCTAATTTCTCAAGTGTACTGCATTTGATTTTAAATATATTCCATATCCATATTTTAAGAATGATCCATTTTTATGCCTTTTCAGCAGTGTATTATGCAGTGTTTTATTATTGCATGTCATTTCCTAAAATCCTGTGAAACAAAATGTCACTGACAAGTACACACAAAACACTGCTACAGCCTCCCAAAAGCAAAGAGCTAATGTTCACAGAGATTCCATTTTATGACTTGTTTAAACTTAAATCCAAAAGTATAATTCACTTTAAAATGCCAAAAAAATAGAAGAATTTCTCCAGAGAGTAAAGCAACAATCATTCCATGGCCAGTGTATGGCTTTTGTTAGTTAGGTACTCTGGAAACTTTTTTAGTCTTCATTTTTATGTAGACAGTAAAATTCAGCTTATAAATAATATAATAACATAGACTAAGAAAGAAAGGAAAGTCAAAAGGGTCATGTGCAGACTGGGGAATTAAGCACATCAGCTCCTTAACTTGGTACATTTAACTGATAGCATATTTTACTGAGATCTTTGGAAACTCCAGTTAGGTGACCTTTTTAGGCTCCATTCACTGCCTAAGAATAATAGATGACCTACTAAGCAAAACTGAGCCAAAACCCAAATTACTGTGGTTTTCTGTGTAATAGTTTCCACCTTGAGTGTCAAGCTTTTCAGCATTAGAAAATTTAATAACAAGAAACAATAATTTATAATTTTGGCAAAGTGCAATAATGAGCAAAAATATTATATATAAATCAAAGATTTTATATACACAACTTGCAATACCTCCTCCCAAAACACAATGTGTATTATTCAAACTTAAATTCCCCAAACGTTCAACCACTCTGAACCACTCAGAAAGGCATCAGTACAGGAGATCCTGAACAAAGTAGAAGGAAAATGTGGAACAAAACAAAAAATAATAAAGAAGACAAGGGTTCCTGGTCTGACAGAGACTAGTAAAGCCACCAAGATTATGGACCCTAGTCAACTTTCAGGCCTAGAACTGAACTCACTCCTGTGGCTTTCAGCCAAACAAAAGACAGGCATATAAAGTGAATATATACACAGGTAGGTACTCTCCTTAGAATAACCAATCATGGGAGATCAGAAAGGCAATATTTGCAAGGATATAGCTCAAATGGCAGGAAGGCATAGGAAAGAAGGACACAGGGCAAGGTAACCACAGGGAGGAAGTGAGAAGAGTGCTGTTACATCATGGGGATTGCAATCAACGTCATGAAACAAAATGTGGATGAACTGCTATATAGAAAGTAAATTTGTTCTGTAAACTTTCACTCAAATCACAACTAATAAAAAAAATTCTCTAAATTTTCAATATTGGGAAAAACATACATCACATTATCTCATAGAGCTAATGATACAAACTGGATTGGCAACCAAACCCTAAATTTGGCTGTGACAGATTATACTTGATGTATTTATATTATAGTAAAATGGTCTCCCAATTTGGGAAGTGCATAGATTAAGGTAAAATTTGTTGATTAAAATGGATTTAGTGTAAAAACAAAGATTAAATTGACATGAAATAATTATTTTACAATAATTAATTTTTTCAGCTGATTTAAATCCACTATTTGACTATCATTAGAAGATTCTAAAATATCTCTTATTCACCAAAATGATTAATAAAAGAAAATATTCTCTTGAATTTCTTAAAACTCATTACACACAGTGTAGTTGTTTATTTTGAAACAATCATACTTAAAAATCTCATTATTTACTGGCTTTAAAAAAAGTAAAAGATGTGTCTTACCTCTTCCCACTGATGTATGTATCTAATTAACCTTGAAAGTCGTAATAAACGCAAGAGACTCAGGATTTTTGTAAACCTCACAATACGCAGTGCCCTCGCTGTCTTGTAAACTTCTGAATCCATTCCTTTTTCTACTATGAGAAAGATATAATCCACTGGGATTGATGAGATGAAGTCAACCACAAACCAGCTTTTTAAATAATTCATCTTAATCACTTTAGGGTCCAGGATGATTTCAGAACTGTCTTCATTGACAGTCCCAGTCCTAAAATTCATGATCAGGTCCAACAGGAAAACAGTATCTGATGCCACATTGAAAATAATCCATGGTGTTGTTGTTTGCTCTGTGAAGAATGTGATTCCAACTGGTATGATGACCAGATTTCCAACCATCATTATAAGCATTATTAAGTCCCAATAAAATCTAAAATAAAGCAAACCAAAAATAATCAGATTTTAAGACATAGAACATAACCATTCCATTATTTCCCCCACTATATATGTATATATCATCTATATATCTATATATCATTTGACCTTTGATCAAATATATGCCTAAAAGAACAAAGAAAGGTTGTGTAAAACATAATTTTTAATGGATTTAAATATAATTCTAAGTAAAATGAATACATTCCTAAACAAAGTCATAATGTCTATAGAATTCTGAGTGATATTTGATATAAAGATTTATATTAAAAAATCCCCATACCTTCATTTACCTAATAAAAAGTAAACACGACCTGTCCTATAGTTAACACAGAAACTGAGTGGAAAACAGAAAGGAATACAAGAGCAGAAGATCTACCTTTAAAAACTGCTTAGTAAAGACTCTTTGGAGGTGGTTTGAAATATTGCATATATCTGTTACCAATCATAGTTTAGAATTAACAATAATTAAGTACAGCACTCTAATAAGTTTGGTACTACAAATATATCTCTATGAGTATAAACCAAACCAAAACCAAACTCACTGCCGTTGAGCCGGATCAGACACATAGGAACCCCTCCTTGGGTTTCCGAGGTGGTATCACTACGGATATAGATTGTCTGATCTTCCTTCATAGAATACTTTAATATACTCCCACTATTTTTCTTTCTTTAAAATACCGGATTTAATTATGAATGTGCCTATGATTACTACTTATCTTTTAAAACACTCTGGTGGCATAGTGCATAAGGCATTCGACTGCTAACCAGAAGGTTAGAACTTCAAACCCACCAGCCAATCCGAGGAAGGAAGACTGGGCAATTTACTTACTTCCGTAAAGATTAACTGCCTGGGAAACCCAATGAGGGTCACTATAAGTCAGAATCAACTTGATGGCAGTGTGTTTCCTTTGGTTTTGGTTTTAGGTTAAAACTGGGTAAAACAATAATTCTGTTTTAGGTTTACAAAGCTTAACTAAGTTCATCAGGGATGATAGTGTTATTTGCAAGAGGGTTCTTTCAGTCTATGAGCAGTGTAGTTAACAGACTGGATAATAGACTATTTATAGTCGTTATAGTATATACATATGAAAATGAAAAAGAAATCAACTCAAACAACTGTATGATCATGAATTACTTTCCAGAAACAAGAGTTGCTTCATGCTAGTCAAGGTGCCCTCATCAGAAAGTTCGACTGCATAAATAATAAACTTATCTGAAAGAAATTTCTGTTAACCAACACATTTTTTGTTTCACCTTAATTCTCACACTTAAACTATTGGGCTACATCTTGGTAAGGTATACATTAGCATAAAGGAGCCCCAGTAGTGGAGTGTTAAGCATTCTGCTGCTAACTAAAAGGTCTGTGGTTTAAACCCACCAGCTACTCCATGAAAGAAATATGGCAGTCTGTTTCTATAATTATAGTCCTGGAAATGCTATGGAGCAGTTTTATTATGTTCCATAGGAGTTGCTATAGGAGCTCTAGTGGTGTAGTGCTTAAAATATTTGACTGCTAACCAGAAAGCTGGTGGTTCAAACCCACCAGCCACACCTCAGAAGGAAGAATGGCAATCTACTTTCATAGAGAAACTGGCTCAGAAACCCAAGGAGGGGTCACTATGAGTCAGTATAGACCAATGGCAGTGAGGTTTTTTTTTTGTTTGTTTTTGTTTTTGTTTTCTTTTTTGGATAGGGTTGCAGTGGGTCATAATGGACTCAAAGGCAATGGGTGTTTGAATGGATACATTTACATAAATCTTTAGAATTATTATCATCCCTAATTATGAATGACTGCTGGTATTAAAGCAGTAGTATAATAGAGAACTATAATAGACTGTGTCTCTCCTTGTCTTTACCCCCACCGCCCATAGTATAAAAAGGATAATTGTCTGGCACTTTGAGGATTTCACCAGTGTTTCTATCAAAACGAAGCTGTACATTTATGGGCAAGGCAAAACATGTATGTCAATTATGCACTGTCAATTTAAATGAAGCTTCTTTTCTTTCTTTTTTTCTCTTCCTTTCCTAATGAAAATACAAAATGCACCATTTAACACACTATAGACAAAGAACAGATGCAATGGAAATGCAATTTTGCAATAGTCATTTCACACAGAACTGACATCATTGAACTCTAAAATGCTATCACGTGTACTCTGAGGATTTTCACTTTTCTGGACACTCTTATCACTCTCCTCTGTGGGTTTCTCTCTCTGTTCTTCCCTTTGAAAGCTATCATTTCCCAGGATATCACACATAACCCTTCTATCTTCTATTCCACACTTGCTCTTTGTACATTATTATACACTCACCCATGTCTTCACTGATTAATCCACAACTGATGACTCCACAAGTTTTATCTCCAGTCCATTCTTGTCTTCTAAGTCTCCAGGCCCTGATAATCAGAAGCCTGTTAAGTCCATCCCTGTGCATATCTTGAAACCATGTGACACAGCATATTTTAGCACAAAGGTGTTTTCTATATCCTTCATGTATTCTTTACCCACCACTCATCTGTCAGTTTATCATACTGTGGTGGCTGTGTGTCGCTGTGATGGTAGAAGGTATACCACTGGCATTTCAAATACCAGCAGAGTCACCCATATTCAACAGATTCCAGTGGAGCTTCCAGACTAATACAAACTAGGAAGACAGGCCTGGTGATCTTCTTCCAAAAATTAGCCAATACAAAACTTATGGATCACAGCCAAACACTGGCTGACTCTCTTGGGTTGGGGATTTTATCCGGATTTATCGATCACTGGAGAAGGACATCACATTTGGTAAAGTAGAGGGCCAACGAGAGTACGAAGACCCTCAGTGAGATGGATTGGCATGAAAGCTACACCAATGGACTCACACATGCCAGTAATCCTAAGGAGTATGTAACATTTCATTCTGTGGCACCCATGATTCAGAGTGGACTTGCTGGCAGCTATCCATCTATCATCTGTTTATCAATCATATCTACCTGTCTATATTTCCACCTCAGAGAACGAGACAAATCTATACCTGATTTCTAAGCCAGAAACCTTGGAGTCATTTGGGATAGAACATAGTCCTAAACCTGCCTCCCTATGTCCAATCAGTCACCAAAGTTGTTATGTGTACTGTACTTATTCATTTCCCCAAACAATTTCTACTGTAGCTAACCTCACAGCTGTTTAATTTAGAAAAGGGATACTTAAGTTCTCTAATCCTAAATTTTCTAATCTGTAAAATAAGGATTATGTGGCGTAGTGCCTAAGGCATTTAACTGCTAACCAGAAGGCTGGCGGTTCAAACCCACCAGCCACTCCTCAGAAGGAAGGTTGGGCAATCTACTTCCACAGTGATACTGCCTCAGAAACCCAAAGAGGGGTCACTATGAGTCGGATCTGACTCATCGGCACTGTGTTTGGTTTGGTTTGGTATAAAAGCAAATGTATAGGGTTGTATGAATGAAAAGAACTAACACATGCAAATCTTAGTGGAGGGTTTCGCATATAGTATCTGGTGGCACACAATGCTAATGGTATATTCAATATCCATTTACTCTTCTTTATTTGCCAAAAGACATCCAATTTTATGCTGAAGTCCACTGAAAACTCCTCAGGTCCACAGACAACCTTATATTACTGTCATTAAGATAGAAGCTTTTCTTTGGAGGAAAAATCACATTCCACTCCTCTTAGGCAACAGAGATGAAAAGAATAAAGTGCCATCCATTCCTTATTATAGCATTACTGTTTCCCATACCATAACTTTCTATAAGCCATACTTAAATATGGTCTGAAGCCATTAACTAGCTCAATATCTACATAAAGCATCGTTGTTGTTGTTATGTACTGTCAAGTTGGACCCGACTCATAGTGACCCCCTCCTTGGGTTTCCAAGGCAGTATCACTATGGAAGTAGATTGCCCCATCTTCCTTCCGAGGGGTGCCTGGTGGGTTTGAACCACTAACCTTCTGGTTAGCAGTCAAGTGCCTTAGGCACTATGCTACCAGAGCTCCCTAAATCTTATAATTTCTTTAATATATAATGGGCTGTTTTACAGACACAAGCATAGCTCTTGACTTGGTGTTATATAAAAGTTTCTTTGGCTAATATGGATCATTCCTTAGCTAGCCAAGGAAAACAATACCATCCACTCAAGTATGATAGATCTCTGCTTTTCAATCAACTGTGTTCCTGCACTGATCTCATAAGTTTCACCTTATAATAGACAAACCAAAACCAAACTCACTGCCATCGAATTAGATCTGACTCATAATGACCCATCCTTGGGTTTCTGAGGCCTAAGGCACTTGACTGCTAACCAAAAAGCTGGGAGTTCAAACCCACCAGCCACTCCTCAGAAGGAAGGTTGGGCAATCTACTTCTGTAGTGATACCACCTTGGTAACGCAAGGAGGGGTCGCTATGAGTCGAGTCTGACTCCACAGCACATAACAACAACAACAACAACATCACTAAAGAAGTAGATTGCCCAACCTTCCTTCTGAGGAGTGGCTGGTGGGTTTGAACTGCCACCCTTCTGGTTAGCCGTCAGAAATACTTGAGGTACTATGTCACCAGACCTCTTTTTAAATAGACTTAATAAACTAATGTTTCTAATTATAGTTTTAAAGGCACTCTGGTGGCACAATGACATTTGACAGCTAACCAGAAGGCTGGCAGTTCAAACCCATCAGCCACTCTGCAGAAGGAAGATGAGGCAATCTTCCTTAAAGATTTACTGTCTTGGAACCCAATGGTTATCTGTATGAGTAGAAATTAACTTGATGGTAACGGGTGATTTTTTTTTTTTTAATTTAATTATACCTTTTTACTATTATTACTATAAACACACACACACACACACAAAAAAAAAAAAAAAAAAAACTTCACTGCCACAGAGTTGATAACAACTCATAATGACCACCATTGGGTTTCTGAGGTGGTAAATCTTTATGGAAGTAGATTTTCTCATCTTCCTCCCATAGAGTGGCTGGTGGGTTGGAACTGCCAATCT